TACTTGTAATTTATTTTTTTTCTCTGGTGCATTTCATGTTGAATAGTAAGTGGACATCCCGGGAGGTTCTCAGGATGTCCTGATCAAGCTAAATAGTTTGACGTTTGATTGGTGTGACGTGTTTGACAAATGTGGAAAAACGAGGACATCGTGGTTGGAAAATAAAAAAAGAAGTGAGTGCTGGACAAAGTGGGCAAATTGTCCGGAATGAGCTGAATAGTTCTGAGTTCGGCTGCTTCGAACAGGTTGATAACTCTGGCAGGATATTTATCAAACTATCCCCACCCATTTCCATGGGAAAGTCTCCCACCGGGAAAATGTGGAATGGCTTGACACGCCGTGACTCGACACTCACGGGTCGTGGCTTCCTGGCGAGCTCGGGCCCCTGGCCTCGGCCTGGATGGCCTCCATGGGCGTACTGTACAGGAACTTCTGGTTCTGCGGCTTCCTCCTCTCCGCTGCCGGCTCCGTCTGCACCGTCTCTCCGCCGGCCTGATCCACGATGTGAATCCCGAGCAGGAGGCTGTAGTCCATGATCTTGAAACTTTGCAGCACCTTGGGGGCGGGGGAGAAAAAGAAAACCGGCATTGTAGCCAGCATTAGTTGGACCACAACGGTGCGGGGTTGCGAAATTCTGCCAATTTTTGTGCTCAAGCCAAAGCCATGTCTCATATAAAAAATAAAAAATAAATCAGGCTTTCTACTTCATTTAGTCAGGTCTAATTTTTAAAAAAAATATCTTTTATCCAAGTCAATGTACAATAATGCACAGTCAGTGGGAAGCAAGCAAGGAGATTGGCTCGATACTTTATTTGTGACTTTTTCTCTCTTAGTCCAAAGATGATCATTTGCAACATTTCCCAAATCCCCTCAATGGAAATGTCCCAGAAAACGTTCCACCCCTTGGATAACCTCCCACCGCGTATGACTCTCACCAGGCAGTCCCGCTGCACAGTCTTGCAGAAAGCGTTGTACATGTCGGCGTCCAGCAGCATCCCGTCAGGCATGTCCTGCAGAAAGTCCAGGTCCTTGAAGGTGGGTAAGGGCTTGGCCCGTTCCTTGGACGAGGCCCGGCGGTTATACGTGGAGCCCTTCAGGTCGAACTTGAGGTGCAGCTGGACCGAGGAGGGCAGCAGGTTGTTCATGACCACGATGCGGATGTTGGTGCCATTTGCCTGGATGCAGTAGAGACCGTAGAACTTGGGGAGCAGGGTTCGCTTGTTCTGGTTCAGGTTCTGGAAAATGGCGAGGAGAGCAGAAACATGGCAGGAGGGTCTGCTGTGTGTGGAGACACATTTTGATTGACATCTTGAATTTAAAAAAAAAAAAAAGACCAAGAAGTAAACACACTTCCATTGGAGAACAGCGTGTTATGAGCAAGCTCTGTAACCTGTGCTTTTCATTTTTTTTTTTTGTCTCACCATAAAGTATCCAGGAAGGAGCTTCTGCAGAAACTCGGCTTCCTTGCGCTGCACTGTCTTCATGATGAACTGGTCATCGTTGGAGAGGTAGAAGAGCGACCCGCTGGCTCCCGGGTTGGACAGCTCAATCAGGTCCTCGCTACACAGGGAACACTGAGCGAGAGACAGAGAGAGAGAGAGAGGACACGCGCTGTAAGTTGAAAATATGTTTTCTAAAAATCCCGTCAGAAATCCCACATACCATGTAGTCGTCAGGCTGGATGCAAAACATCTCCCTGAAGTAGCGGAACGCGATGGGCGCGTAAGTCTTGAACCTGAAGTCTCCGTAGTGGTGCGCTGGCGTGTGGCTGCTGCCTTCACTGGAGAATTTCAATCAAAACAAAACAGCTCTCTATAAATCTCTTTGATGAAACCGTTTTTGCCACATCATTTGCTCAAATCCAAATGCGCATTGCGCTTCTTCCAGCGCGTGTGGCTTGTAAGACAGACGTAGGAATAGACTGTACGCCGAGTCGGTCTCAGCTCCGCAGTTTGCCACAGAAATAGGACTCGCTCTTCACAGGGGATCAAGAACATATGCCCACGAGTACCGCTATATTGTCTGCGTCGCTGCACCGTTTATGTTCATATATCACAGGCAGGTTTTTAAAAGCCACAAAGCGCATTAGCCTGCTTTCTTCATCATGGCTGCAGGCCACCCACCCGGGGAAGTAGATACTCTCCACCTCCTCAAAGTCCTGCAGCAGCACGTCTCGCTCGGACTTCTGAGCCAAGCTGCACACCGTGTGCGTGATGCCCAACTGGATGGCGCCTTGCAGAGCCCACGAGGGTGTCTGGAAGGCAAACAAGTGATGGAAACGTGTGTACCCTGGTGACGGTGGATGCATTTTCGGAGTCCCCGACATGAACCCCAAGTTGTCTGTGTCAGTTTCGGCAAATTCCAGGGGTCGTTTGGCGAACCCCTACCGGGGAATTTGCCTTATTCAAAAGCAAGCATGCTAGACAGTGGAGAGAGGCTTCCATTCAAATCCATACTGACCACTCCTCTCACCTTTTTGTACACAGTCTCCCCAGTCTGATCCACTCCACGGTGGCCGATGGTTTTCTTGACAACTGGAGCTGAGCTAATTCCTGGAATCTAGCCGTAAGGAGAATAACGAGTGTCAATTGCTCCCCTCCAAACCACTCAAGCCAAATTGCTTCGTTCTTGGCATCAGACATCGAGACGAATCAAATCAACAACTCTGCTTTGATTTCCAAATATTGTCATCTGAATCAGAATCACAACATCAAAAGATGAAGCTACTCATTTTTGAGGAACGACGTGCGCGGCTTTGGCCAAACCGCACATAACAGGAGGGCTAACAAAGAGAGATGCTGTGTCTTCCTCACATCTCGACCGGATTATTGAAATGCACTTTGGAGTCAGCCAGTCCTTCCTCAAACCTCTCCCGTTGTTTCAAATCGCTGCCGCTGACCTCCTAACTGAGAGCACATAAGGTAACTCCTGTTCTGGCTTCCAATGAATGCGCTTTCGAGTTGGTTTCTGCTCAGATTCTGTCGGCGGTTTGGAAAGAGCAAAATGGTCTGGCCCTGCTTTACGTCTCTGAGCTGCTACATTTCGACGCTGCATTCCAGCGCCAATGGTCAGCTGACCAGCTGGTCCCGGAGGTAGCAAAGACCAAGCACAAGCTCAAAGCCTTTTTCTGTTGCTGGTCCCAAGCTTTGGAAGGACCTCCCGATATCCATTTTAAAAACCTCCTTTAAAACCCATTTTTATTCCCTGGCGTTCAACACAGCACAACTGTGGAGCCACTCCACTTTGTTTTTGTTTTTTTTGTGGCGGACCAGTTGTCCAGTGGTTAGCGCGTCGACCTCACAGTGCAGAGGTCGCGGGTTCGATCCCGGCTCCGGCCTTCCTGTGTGGAGTTTGCATGTTCTCCCGCCCCTCTGCGTGGGTTTTCTCCGGTTTCCTCTCACATTCCAAAAACATGCCTGGCAGGCTGATTGAACACTCTAAATTGTCCCGAGGTGTGAGCGTGAGCGCGGATGGTTGTTCGTCTCTGCGTGCCCTGCGATTGGCTGGCAACCGGTTCAGGGTGTCCCCCACCTACTGCCCGAACACTGCTGGGATAGGCTCCAGCATGCCCCGCGAGCCATGTGAGGATAAAGCGGATCAGAAAATGGATGGATGGATCGTTTTTTTTTTTTAACTTTGTGACTGTTGGTTCAACTGTCTTATATTTGATTTTTATTTCTGTAAAGAACTTTGTTTCTAAAAACAGCTGCAGTTGTTTTTAAACTGCTCTATGAATAAAACAGAGTTGAGATTTGAGTAAACAGGAAAACCAGACAGCCGGCTAGGCGAGGGAAAAATAACAATTGTGAAGCTTAGTCGGCAGCTTTGACAGTCCATATTTATACCAGTTAGAGATGAACAAGTGCTCTATCCAGTGAATAAATAAACAGGCAACTGTCAAAATATGATTCAGCAAGAGCTGTCTATGGAAGGAAAAAACTAATAAGAAAGTTAACAATACTTTTCTATGGAAATGTACTGACTGCAAATTAAATTGTGCACAGTTACATATTATAGTTGCATCAATCCCACCAACGTTTCTTACCTCTTTCCCGGCCTCAGCTGAATCTGGAGACAAATGGGAAGACAGTGTAAAGGTGTTTCGGGGAAAAAAACAAATAAACAAACACATTGTTGTGATGGCATTGGTTTAAAAGAGAAATCATACTGTGGAGGAGCGCAGTTGGGCTGAGGCCCAAACAGGCAGACACACCTTGTTAACTTCTAGCAATGAAAGACTCACTTGTACGAGCTCTTTCCATACCATTGAGTCTTTTAGGAACTTTTTGCAGGCCCCCTTCTCTTATTTATTTTTGTCAGACATTTTTTTTAATTATGTGCGGATTATAACTCAAAAGGCTACTACGTAGAAGTGGAGTTTGACGAGGGAAACGACACGTTATCTTTTCCTTTCGGCGTTCACACTGACGTCACTTACTTCCAGGGCTCTGGAGCCCCTGCGGCTCCTCTGGAACTGCGGCCGTGGCCATTCCGAGACTTCTTCAAACTTTATAAACACACCGGAGCTCCAAAATGTCATAAATTAAACAAGGAAACAAAATAAATGGGTAAACTATGTTGATGAAAAAGCCATATTTTGCGGCGTAAAGCCAATCCTGTCATTGCGCGTTCGTAAACAGGGAAGCAACGCGGAAGTTGTTGACATACGTCAAGTAATCAGAATGAGGAAAAAAATGTTCCGGTCGAAGTTTTACAGAATAAATAGATCATCAAGAAAGGAGATCGAAACAGACTCAGGAGTCACATTGTGCCAGCTATCGTACCAAATTAACGTGTGAAGTAGTAGATTTTTCAATAAGTGTTTGTATTGTACATGTATTTATGCATGATTATATTTTTATCATTAAAAGCGCATGTTAGAGTTCAAACATATCTCTTATTTTGAAGGTGAAGGATAAAACTAGGCAAGTGTGCGTACACCTGCTCATTGTTTTGACGATCTGTCAACGTTCGTTAAAAAAACAAAGAAACTTCGTAGGTCACAGTGGAAACTTATTAAAGTGTTGATTAAGTTTTCTGGTACAACTTCCAATTCATGATAAACTGTAAACAACAAGACGCGTCCTTCCCACAACTTTTCCCATGAAAACAGGGACCTCTTGTGGACATATCACAGATTGCAGCGATAGACTGCAGTGACAGCGTACAGTGGTCATCATATCTTTTATTTACAAAAGAAAAGTTCAAAATATGACTTATTTTCTAATACTTGGGCAGAATCAATCCCTCTGGTTGGCTGAAAACACTGATCTTCTGAACACCTGTGGAAAAATTCAATCTTTTTTTTTTTTTTTTTTTGCATGATTGTTCGTCGTTTATTTCTAACATTATCTGTACCTTCAGCAAGCAATTGGGTCGAAGGCAAAGTCGGGCTCGACGGGCATTGTGGGTGCGATGTAGCCCGGCGTGGCAAGGTAGTCCGGGTTTGGCAGTTCGCTGTCAAAGCAGGTCCAGCGCTCGTCTCCTTGCTTCCTGCAGCACTCGTAGTGCGCCGTCATGGTTCCGAACTCCTCGATGCAGAACTGGCCGAGCGCCTGCTTCCACTGAAAGCAAACATGGCGATAGAAATTAGCTCAGAGTCTCATAGTGTCATCCGCAGGTGGCAACGGAGAGAAGACCCACAAAAACAAAAGTCATGGATTTAACAAAAATCTGGGATTAGGGTTCAATTTGCGGGGGTTCATCAGTTGTCAAAGTATTTTTATTTATTTTTTGTTTGTTTGTTTGTCAGTCACTAATGTCTTTATCGTGTTGTATTTTTATGTACAGTGCATGTTGTTGAAAAAATAATCTGGGTTCAAAATTGTGAATATATGAAAATGATCAGACAGATCCTTATTACAAAAGGAATGTGTTCTCAATTACTTTATCTGGATAAATTAATAATGAAAAAAATAGGCCATACAGTACTTTAAAAAAATAGAGAGAATTCAGCGCAGTGAATTGTTAAATATATATAATATTTGTACAAAATGTAAATTGGTCATGGTGAATGGATCGTGTTTACAATGTCAAATTAAAAATAATATAAATTGTGAGCGGCTTTCACATTTGACACACTATCCACATTGCATATTTGTTTAGAAAATGAAAACACATTTTTGAAAAATAGATCTTAACATTTGTAAAATAAATACAAAGTCTTGTTACAATTTAACGTGCCATTTGAACAAGTGAAAGAAACAAACACTGACGTTTCATTTTGAGATAAAGTAAGATGCCGTGGTTGGTCACAATTTGAAAATCTGGGCGAAATTTAAAAATCAATTTGACAGTTGCACGTTTTTTTTCTTTTTTAATGCACAGCAAATGTCATTTTTCATTCAAATCAAATTTCAGCAAATATTTACAAAACCCTGACTTCAACCCTATGTTATTAGCCGATGTTTTCTGATGACGCGTTTGACTCACAGCTTGCCTTGTGCAGCAAAGGACGGCGGCGTCCCTGTCCTCCGTGTCCAGACAGCAGCAGTGAGCGTACCACGACTCCAGTCGGTTGATGGCCTTGGCGCGGCGCCTAAAGTGGCCCGCCCCGCTCCTTGGGAAGAAGCTCTCCGGGTACCTGGGGCGGCCCTGACCTTGGCTGCAGATGGCGGGCAGGTTGAGCGTCGTGGGCCGGGCCGGTGGGAACGGCACGTCGATTTCTCTGGACTCCACTGGAGAAACAGGCAAGCTGGATTATCCTGGAGGTAATTTGTAATTTCATAACTAATTGGCATTACCTCTGAGATTTGTTTGGGAGGCAATCAGAAGAATTCCAACTCCTTGAAGAAGTCCAATCCAAGTCATGGCTGGAGTGAGTTTTTTTTTTTTCTTGCAGTTTCTTGCAAGACCTGAAATGCAACAAGTTGACATGCAGGCTGCTTATATTAACCCAGGAGGGAGGGTGGGGAGTAGTGGGCGGCGGGGGGGAGCCCAACCCTCACTTTTCCGCTCAACCCATAAGAGGTGGGTTGGGGCAAGTTTGAGCACCCGGGAGACAATCTGCTAAACATACACCACAAAATATCCACACAGAAGGATGTGGCTTTCGATTCAATTATGGGTGCACCGTATCCATCCGATTCCTTCTCGATTTGCATTGACTCTGGCCGACGCTACTTTTGCGCATGAACAGAAAATACCACAGCTATCAAAATAACAACAGCAACGATGAGAGGGTTGTATGGCACGGTAGACACCTTTAATGTCGCGCCCCATTATGTCATTGCTTCACCAGGCTCTTTTTCAGCCCCCTCTCCTCTTTTCTCCTAAAATCGTTTAGTGCTTCAGCCGTGTTGGAAAATTTCCGAACCCCAAATCCACTTTTTGGGTTTGGCTTTGTAGCTGTAAATGAAAATCCATATTGTGCAAGATTTAAATGTAAAAAACTTGATGTGCTAAGGAAAAAGTCAAGACATTTTTTTCAATGCGTATCCAAAATATGTTTACAGGCAAATAAAGCTATCTCGCATTCAAATTTGCTGTTGAGCAGTCTTATTCATTTGTGTACTTTCATTTCATGATTATTATTACTAAAAAGAATGCACAAGAATGTAAAAACTGATATGAGATGTAAAATACAGTCAGTCAATAAATATCGAAATCATATCCATCCATCCATCCATTCGGCATGTCAAATGTAAACAATGAAATAAACTGCAATGTCTGGTTAAAATTTGACCAAGGCATGCGGTTCAAGTCAAAACAAACCACAGTCGAAAAATAAAACTGGTTTCAAAATATGTAATCTTCACGGGATGCGCGACTTGCTCTTTTACACTGCTCCGAACTCCTCTATGCATGGCAGCCAACACGGAAGGCGACTTCTTATCAAGTGATTCTGGGAAAAAAAAAAAAAAAAATGTGCTGACCGTGGACAAAACAAAGATCACGCGCACCCTGCCAAGTTTGTGGAAACTGCTCTTCCTCCTCCCAGCAAACAGCCTTTACCAAAAACAGACAAAACCTGCCAAGTTTGCGCTTTTGTTATCAAAGAGCAGCCCGTGTGCGTTCGTCGGCTGCTTCCTGTTTTCGCACACAACCCCAGTCAACAACTTCTTTTGGAATAACATTGCAATAGCTACGTCGTGCTCTCTGCGATGGAGCTGCACTTTCTCTCTGCTGTCGATGCTTATGCTCATCAGTTGCAGACATACCCATCTAATGTGTGCGAAAGGTACCGCTGCATGCTTTCTGCATAGCGACGACAAAATCTATCCCCCAAATCACCTCGTAGGTCCTTAGTCCCCAAGCCGTCCGTCATAGACGCGTAGTTCAGGTCACTCGCATGAGCTGCAGACATACCTGTCCAGTGCGTGCAAAACATTTTCACTACATTGTAGTAACCTTTGGGAGCCTTACGAGTGTTGTTGTTTCTCCCGACTTTCTTCCCTGCCTTCCTTTTGGCTTACCTGCTAATGAGTAATTCATACCCATCTAGGCCTCCTCGCCACTGAATGAGAACGTCTGCGCAATTTGACCTGCGGACGCGTCGCCGCTCCAGGCCGCTGTTTTAGAGAAGGGAGGGAGGGAGCCGGCAGGGGAGCTGAGGGGGAGGGAGGTGAGTGGACGCATGTGTCGCAACAAGCCGATTATTGAAGGCTACTTGATGAGCTCCTGCCTGGCAATTTGCATCCGTCTAGGCGGGAGGTGGATGAAGCCGCATGTCAGACAATCGCAATTTTGTGGTTGAGAATGACAGCTCCATTCTTCTTGTAAGCGGACACTTTCTTTATAAAGATGAGCAGCCCCTCCAGGAGCCTGGGTGACCAGAAAGGGTTCAGAGAGAGTCCCGGTCACAAACCCGAGGCGGCGCGCTACCGCAGCTGGAGCAGCCTTCGCTTCTCCCGATGGCGCAGCGCCTCCCAGAAGGCCGGCTGCCCCGGGACGCCCTCGGCCAAGGCGGACAAGCGCAACGACGTGAGCCAGACGCTCTTCTCGTTGGTCAAGACGCACAACGACGACTACACGGCCGACCCCGCTGGGCTGCTGGACCTCAACGGGGTTGATGACGACGACGACGACTGCCAGGAAGTCGAGCTAGACCAGTCCACATACTTCCAGAAGCAGCTGGGATCCATGCTGCAGCCCGGCGTCAACAAGTTCTCCCTGCGCATGTTCGGCAGCCACAAGGGTGTCGCTGCGGAGCAGGCCAGGGTCAAGTCCTTCGGCGTGTGGATCATCCACCCTTACAGCGATTTCAGGTGAGGCGCAGCCACACCTGTCTAGTGTCTGACACAAATACGTCCCTTCTACAAATATGAATGGCTCCCAAAAAAAAAAAAAAAATCTTCCCAAAGCATCACTATACATCCACATTGTGACGCAGGGAGAGGTGCGGCCATACCCGTCTAGTGTTTCGAGTCGATACAAAGACACCCACCCCTTCTATCTATGCGACGACATCGATATTTCCAAAATATGACGATCAAATATTTATCTTGATACTGTCATCAGCTCAGGTGCAGTCATGCCCATCTAGTCTATTCAGTTAAACAAGTGACAAAAACACCCCCCCCACCCAAAAAAAAAAAAAAAAAGATGTGTGAAAGCCATAGCTCCATCCGTTCTACGCACGAGACTACAGAAAATAAAAGTGAAAAATGTCAGGCTTTTCTCCAGGCCGAGGCTGTCGCTGAGACCAAGTTGAGACCAAGCCGCGCCCGACTAACGTGTCCAAAAGCTTCATTTCGTCAAAGCGTTTGACGCCAAAACTAAATGTGCTGCTAAGTCAAGAGTGGTGTGATATGTGTCGTCCTCATAGCGACTTCAGGTGAGTGCTTGGGATGGAGACACGGCCATCAAGTGTGACGGCAAAACTGATTCCCGACAAGGACAGGCTTGCGCATCCTAAATTTTCAAGTTGAGAGTGGGCCACAGCAGCTGATGCACCGCCCGGTATAAGGCGATGAAGGGATTTGATTACTGATACAGTATATAGGACAAGATCATCTGGATTATTCAAGGTCCCCCCCCCACCCCCAAACCAACTCAATTCATTCGCCTCCATTTGTACGGATTTGCCAAAAGCCGGACAACATCTCACCGCAATCTATCTTACTTCATATTAAAAGCAGCTAATTCAAAGGAGGCATAAGCAGCGTGCCGGCCGGTGGCAGACGGCCAGCCCACGTGGGAGAAACGCTCCGAATAATTCCAATCTTGCCTTATTATGCAATAATATGCAGACAGCTGTGGCGGAGATTATGGCACCGCCGTTTGCCGCATGCTGCAAGACTTGCTTTTAAAATGGAGGCGCGGGTCAGATGGTGCGATCCGTCCCAATGACTTCATTTGGCCGGAATACAGAGGTGGGCAGAGGGCAGGCGGCGAGAAATGAAGGGCGGCCGAGTGGTGGGGGGGGGACATGGAGTGGACAGAAGGCCAGGGTCTTAGCCACCAATCTGCCAAAACGCCCTCCCTGGCCAGCTTCACTTGTTGTTGTTTTTACCCGGCGTCGGCCTTCTGTTCCTCCGATTTTCACCTTCATTATCTGTTCATTTTCCATCATGTTATCGTGCGTTTTTTTTTTTAACACATTTTCTTTGTAAAGTATGACTTTTATTCTTCATTCATTGATGGATTTTTACATTTTTCTTGATTATGCCAGCATGAAATGGATTGACATATTTCATGAGTTCGATTTATGGAATGCATTTCCATGTGCTCAAAATGATGTTTACATTTTTACATTTTTTTCCTTCATTTTGCCATCATTGGGATGGCAAATTGTATTTGCTAATTTTAGTTTGCAAAGGCATCTTTTTCATCCTTTGGTGTGCCTTCTCTTAGCGACGGCGTTCCCACAACCGGGGAGTGAAAAAATGCCAACGCAAAGCTCTGACTAATCTTGCTCCCCTCACAGCCTTGAAGTTGGACTCGAATGCAAAAATTGTTCCCGACAAATTTCTTGCGCGTGCTTTAACGGCGACGGAAGCCTTCGCAGTCCCTGCGGTGGCCACTTTGTCGACTGCAACATGAGAGGCGGTGACAAAGAAGTCCTCGTGTTAACCCGTCCATCACGTCCTCTTTTCTCAATGGCCCCACGTCCCGCGGCATCAAATGAAAAAGCTCCTTAATCAAGTCGAGACGTCGGATTGACTGCCGGCGGATGGAAAAAGAATCTGTGAGCAAAAGCGGGAAACCCAAAACCGGTCACCACGGGACACTGGAGACTTCACATGAGATGGGTCACGCAGACCTGTTTCCTCCTTCACGTTGTGCTCTTGTTTTCCATCTAAGGGTTCCCTGCGCTTCTTTCCAGGTTCTACTGGGACCTGGTGATGCTCCTGCTGATGATGAGCAACCTTGTGATCTTGCCGTGGGGCATCACGTTCTTCGAAGACCAGAACACCATCCCGTGGATCACCTTCAACATGCTGTCCGACACGCTCTTCCTGATGGACCTGGTCTTCAACTTCCGCACGGGCATCCTGGGCGAGGACAGTCACATCGTGCTGGACCCCAAGCGCATCCGCCTGCACTACCTGCGCTCCTGGTTCCTGGTGGACTTCATCTCCTCCATCCCGGTGGACTACATCTTCCTGGTGGTGGACCTGGAGTCACTGCAGGACTCGTCCGACGTGTACCGCACCGCTCGAGCCCTCCGCATCGTGCGGTTTACCAAGATCCTCAGCCTCCTACGACTCCTGCGCCTATCCCGCCTCATCCGCTACATCCACCAGTGGGAGGAGGTACCGGCTTCCGTTCCTAATGGGCAGAGGTGGCGAATCCAGGTCCAGAAAGTCAAAACCCGTCCATTGCTATTCTGAATCAGAATAGCTTTCATTGTCATTGTACCGCAGGGTGCTATCAAATCGCAACCCCAGACATAAATATAAATATATATTTTTTGAAATGACCAACAGAGATCAAGAGTTCTCCAGGGCGCCTTTTACAGCGCCCTGTTTCCGCAAATGAAAAGAAAACATAAGGCTCCGCAAGCCATGGAGGTGCCACCACATTCCAGCTGCAGCTGCGCCATAATAGATGAAGGAGGAGAAGCGTTCGAAAGGCGATCGGGGGGTGCATCGTTTTCATGATCACATCGGACAACGACAATAGCGATAGCAAAGAAGAATTAAAATAACGCCAAATAGGTGGCTGCATAGGGGACAGGCAGAGGTAAGGACAAAAAAAAAGCAAAAAAAAGGCTACAACGTACTTAGCTTGAGAGGAGACGGACTGAGACAAAGGACAACAAACCGCAAAAAACAAAGTTGTCCGTTTGTCCGCTTCAGATGTTCAACATGACGTACGACCTGGCCAGCGCGGTGGTGCGCATCGTCAACTTGATCGGCATGATGCTGCTGCTGTGCCACTGGGATGGCTGCCTGACCTTCATGGTGCCCATGCTGCAGGACTTCCCCGCGGACTGCTGGGTGTCCAAGAACAACATGGCGGTCGGTGCACGCCTTCCCTTGCGCAATGATCCGTGTAACTCTAATAGGAAAGTAGTACCTTGGTGGCAAAGAACCACAGTTTGTCGAAGTGATGCATCTCCCAACTGAGAGAAGAAAATGCAAAACCTTGAATATGAGGCTGAAGGGTGCACTTTTGTGTGAGACTGGGCTTTGCCGCCATCTTGTGGCATTTCAGAGTAATTTGGGGGGAGCACCCAAATCATAAATAGGCAATTTATTTATTTATTTGTAAGGGGGGAAGTACCTATAGTTAAAAACACACACACGCGCCGCACACAGCCACACACACAACTGACATGTTCTCTTGGTCCTGCTCAGAACGCCACGTGGCACATGCAGTACTCGTACGCCCTGTTCATGGCCATGAGTCACATGCTGTGCATCGGGTACGGCGCCCACCCTCCGGAGGGCGCGAGTGACGTGTGGCTGACCATGATCAGCATGGTGGTGGGCGCCACCTGCTACGCCATGTTCCTGGGCCATGCCACCAACCTGGTGCAGTCCTTGGACGCCTCGCACCGCCAGTACCAGGAGAAGGTAAGAGACGCTCAAAGGGGCATCTGGAAAGCTGACGTTTTGGAAAACGCGTTTGTTTCTTGATGTACTGATGCGCTAATTGATTTCTAATCTACTTTAAGGCCTCCTCGTTGCACTTGTTTTCGCACCCGTGTGAAGATACATTTTTCTCGTTTATTTTTGTCCCTGTGTAAATTATGACTATGTTTGTAAAGGTCTTTTTTTTCCTTCTTAATGGCAGAAGTTTTAAAAGTAGTTCTTTTTTCTATGATGGTATGATCATGAGAACGTTTATTGGAAACATGTTATATTGCATGTGTGCCATGAGGTGCCACCACGTGCTCATGCTCAGTCTTTCTGGAAACATGACTGGATCATATATTTCTCCCTAATTATAAGTGCAGCAGTGGTACGGGGAAACATCTGAACGTTACGCAATGGAATCTGGACGACTAAAGCGACTGCTCGAATCGCAGCTCCTTTGATTGGGATCGGCAGTCACCCACGAGCCATTTCAAATCATCTTTTAATCCATTCAAATGAGGACGCAATCCATCACGATTGCGCAACACACGGTGGCAAACGTGACAGGTCGGGCCGATTGTCCTCCCCAGTTCAGGTTCTTTCTTCTTCCGTCCTTCTGCAGTACAAGCAAGTGGAGCAGTACATGTCGTTCCACAAGCTGCCTGCCGACCTCCGGCAGAGGATCCACGACTATTATGAGCAACGGTTCCAAGGCAAGATGTTTGACGAAGACAGCATCCTGGGAGAGCTCAGCGATCCGCTAAAAGAGGTCAGCTATTGCGAGTGATCATCAATTGAAATGGGATGGAAACTTGAATATCAGAGAAATGGGGAGCCCATTTTGATTTGCCCCCATTTTGACCGGTGTTTTTGGGGCGTCTCTTCTTCTCGACAGGAAATCGTCAGCTATAACTGTCGCGGTCTGGTGGCCAACATGCCCCTCTTCGCGAACACCGACCCTCACTTTGTGACCGTGATCCTCACCAAGCTGCACTTTGAGGTTTTCCAGCCCGCGGACTTCATCATACGGGAGGGAACGCTGGGTCGCAAGATGTACTTCATCCAGCACGGCACCGTCGTGGTCATCCCGCGAGGCAGCAAAGACATCAGACTCAGCGACGGGGCCTATTTTGGCGGTAGTTGTCCAACTTATTTTTCCCGCGGAAAACACGGTCGACATCAATTCTCTTGTTTTTTTAGAGATCTGTCTGCTGACTCAAGGCCGACGGACGGCTAGCGTCAAGGCCGAGACGTATTGCCGGCTCTACTCGCTGAGCGTGGACAGCTTCAACGAGGTGCTGGAGGAGCACCCGCTCATGAGGCGGGCCTTCGAGAGCGTGGCCGTGGACCGACTGGGGCGGGTCGCCAGGAGGCCCAGCCACCAGCCTTCCTCCAACGAGTGAACCGGGAACTGTCCGAGGCAATCACCCAAATGGGACGCATAACCTGTCTTGTAAGACAACGGAGTACAAATACGTTACGACGACACTACGAATGAATCACTTCTATTTACTTTGAATCTCTACTCGGGTTGTAATATTCCATTTTCTCAAAAGAATCCCTCCTACCACGTGCAGTTGAGTAAATCAAGGCTACTCTTGATGGAAATAAAACCAAGCAAATGGTGTGAACGAACACAAATATCTTCTCTCTTTGTAGATACTGTTTTTTTTCCCTCGTGTTAATATAGCAGCTCAGCATCCTCTTATGCTTTCTAAGAGTGAGGCTGTCCATCACGCAGGATGTTGACAGCAGCTGGATGTCCGTAAAGCCTCGGCATGTCGCTTTTGTAATCTCACATGCTGTACGTACATGGATGGGTTTACGGCCTAATGTTCAGCAAGGATAAACTGCGGTGATGTCATCACTTCAGCTCTGCTGGTTGTACTCATTGTACGTGCCAGGCGTGGGGCAGCTGTTTTATGAGTAGTTCAGATCAAGTTCGACAACATTTATGAAAACTGCAACCATTTTCAATCGGGCCAGTGCTTGTCCCAAAAAAAGATGTATTTCTGTCCTGTTGGGAAAATGACGAGCTTTTCTTTACGAGCCGGGAGAGATGGGGAATTTCATTTTGGGAAATTTTATTTTGAGAAAGTGTGTGGATTGTTGGATAATGGATGGACGGATTGATTGTTTTCATTGTGGATTTATTGATGACAATGGCGTGACATTAAAATTTGAATTAACAAGAAGAAAACTACCTCTCGATTTGCAGGGGTGGGGGAAGCGATTTCTAATTGATTATTTTAAGTCAATCAAAAATACTGTGACGTTATGAAATTATTGGCTCGTCCGCTCAAGGGGTGGGACTCGCTTCTGGTCATTGGCAGTAGCTTCAGAATAGTAGATTTTAATAGAAGTTAAATACAATACGACTTTGATCAAAGCAAATGACAATTCCTTTAAATGTACAAATTAAATAATTTCGTGATAAGTACAACTTCCTGTAACATGAGCATCACTTCCTCTATTTATCACGGATATATGTAAAAATAATACTTTTGTCACAGTTTTAGTTAACCACAGGGTGTTGTTAATGCATAGAAAAGTCAATCCATAATTCGTAAGTAAAAATATATATGGGGTAATAATAAAAAATGAATCCATCCTAGCCGATTTAGTGACGGAAACATGTTATGAGTGTGAGTTACGCCCCTGGTCATGCGGAGTACCTTTACAGTTATTATATTTTAAAACATAATAATAAACATAAAAAATAAATAAAAATAAGTAAAATCCTTCGTCGCCCATTCGAAGACGTAAGCGAGTACTTCCGGAATATGAACAGCGCTTCCGGTTTGGATTTCATAAACTCTGCACCTAGAGCAGGTATGTGGTGGCTTACTTTAGTGTACACAACATTTTCCTGATTTTCCTCGTGCGCTCTCATTCTGTGTTATTTATAAATAACCACGTTCTTATCGTGTGCTTGTTTGGACGCGTTGTCGCCATTTCTCTTCTGAACTCGTGACGCGGGCAAGGTTATAAGAGCGAGCCAGCCTAGCATCACAGGCTAACGCTAGCTGTGGCGCCGCTAGCGTGGAGGTCACCGGATTGATAGATTATATCATGCACATACATCTGTAACACACTGTTTGCATATGGTTACAATTGCTCAATGGACCACAGTTGCGAATATCGGACGTGTTTTGTCAGCATGTTGCTGGTACTCAACATTTTGGATTAGCTCACCTGCATAACAAACTTGCACACAAGGTGTGTCATGTAAGTGACAAGGTAATACAGTACATCAAAATGTATTAGTTTGAATGATTTGGTGGAGTTATATGATATCCTACTGAGCTGAATGTGGAAATCACATCTGTCATGTTTTAAATTGAATTCGGCCCCACGACGTTGCGTTTTGTTTTGACAGTGCTGGAGGTGTCTCATTAACATATCATTTATAAGTTATACATACCGATTTATAAAGTCATTATGTGCTATTGGTAAACTGCTTACCATGCGTGTATACATTAACAATCAAAATTTTAAAGGCCAGTTAGAAATGTCACATTGTTTTAAAGATCAATTTTATATGCGTGTACAGAAATCATAGACTACTGTTCAAAAGTTTGGGGGTGTCCTTACTGTGTGAGTTTGTGTTTGTGCGTGCAATCTGAAAAAAAACATATATAATGCAAACAATGTTTTAAACAGTTACAAAAAACATTTCAAAGCAAAGTCAAAGTAACGGAACAATTCCAAATTTTGACTTCCCAAGGATGCTGTCCCTGTCTCGGGCTGTCGTGAGCGGGGTGGCACGTGCCCCGGCGGCGCTCAGTCAAGGCGCCATTGTACGATTCAACAGCACTGCACAGGTAACATCTCTAGAAATTTCGACTGAAATTATGCCAACATCAAACAGTTTTAATATATCTGTCTGATTTTCCCACAGACCCCTCCTAAGAAAACCACATTTGGGCCACTGGCAGATGAGGACAGAATATTCACCAACCTCTACGGCCGTCATGACTGGAAGTAAGACCTGCACAAGCCATGTCCAGTACATATTATATTCTTTGGTTAATTTGAGCGAATGCACTTTAGGCTGAATGGCGCCTTGAAGCGTGGCGACTGGTACAAGACCAAGGAGATCCTTCTCAAGGGCGTGGACTGGATTCTCAATGAGATCAAGGTGTCGGGCCTGCGCGGGAGAGGAGGCGCAGGGTTCCCCACTGGCATGAAATGGAGTTTCATGAACAAGCCCAGCGACGGCAGGTCGGAAACACTTCCAAAACAATAATCCCCTACATATTCACATTTATTTATGTGGAACAATTCCTAACGTATGCGCTACCTGAATACCCTACGATGCCGTCTAATGCCTTCCCTCAAAAGGAAGGTAGTCACGTCATTTGTCAATAAACAAAGAAAGCTATTTTGTCCACCCCCCTCCTAGACCGAAGTATCTGGTGGTGAACGCTGACGAAGGCGAGCCGGGCACGTGCAAAGACCGGGAGATCATGAGGAACGATCCCCACAAGCTGGTGGAGGGCTGCCTGGTTGCCGGCAGGGCCATGGGGGCCCGCGCCGCCTACATCTACATCCGCGGGGAGTTCTACAATGAGTCCTCCAACCTGCAGGTGGGATCGCACGCCTCTGATGTTTAAGAACGGCATCATGCTCAGGTGTTTTCGTTGCAGAGGGCGTAATGTAATAAATGATGTAAATGAATTCCTGTCAGACGTTGCAAAAGTTTTCTAGACTATCTGGACAAAGATTGAATTCACGCTTGACTTGGAATGAGAAGGCAAACACTTTATGGTAAAATTACTGTCCCTTTGAAAGACACGTCGAAGGAAAGGGGAAAAGGAAGCAGTTGTGTACCTCTCCCTCATGCCTCTTCTGCCCGAACGAAACGCCTTTAAGCATCTGAAGCGTGAACGTGATGTGTGCAGGTGGCCATCAACGAGGCGTATGCGGCAGGGCTCATCGGCAGGAACGCGTGCGGCTCAGGCTACGACTTTGACGTGTTTGTGATGCGCGGCGCCGGCGCCTACATCTGCGGCGAGGAGACGGCGCTCATCGAGTCACTGGAGGGGAAGCAGGGCAAGCCCCGCCTCAAGCCCCCGTTTCCTGCTGATGTAGGTGAGTCTTCACACAGAAAGTGCGCCATTGAACACAAAGCCTTTTTCAGCATTTTTTTCAGAAATGTCCCCCTCCCCTGTTACTTCTGTGGTGAAGGCGTGTTTGGCTGTCCGACGACGGTGGCCAACGTGGAGACGGTAGCTGTGGCGCCTACCATCTGCCGACGCGGAGGCACCTGGTTTCTGGGTTTCGGCCGGGAGAGGAACTCGGGTACCAAACTCTTCAACATCTCCGGCCACGTCAACCACCCGTGCACCGTCGAAGAGGAGATGTCCATCCCCTTGAAGGATCTCATCGAGAGGCACGCGGGTACGTTAGGGGCCTCGCGCTTTCTACCTTTACGTCGGAGTGCCACAAAGCTACATATTAGCATGCACAGTAACCACTGGGGCCTGAGCAATTAATCGGCCGGAGGATTTAGCTGTTTTAAAATGTTTTTTTTTTTTTTTAAACACATTTCAACATAAGACAATGATAACACTGCTCAACAGCAAGGCGAAGGCGTTGAGAGGTCGGGTTGCGTATTGCATTTGTGTGATCATATGTGTGACGTGAGTCCGCCCCATTAACTCCCCCGAAAACATAATCTGACACTAACACTACATGAACGACCATTTGTGAGACAGGCGGCGTTCGCGGCGGATGGGACAACCTGTTGGCCGTTATCCCCGGTGGCTCCTCTACCCCACTTATCCCCAAGAAGGTGTGCGAGGAGGTGCTGATGGACTTTGACGGCCTCGTCCAGGCTCAGACCGGACTGGGAACGGCGGCACTCATTGTCATGGACAAATCTGTGCGTTTTTTCCCCGTTTTAACAAGCGTCTTATGATCATATTCAATGTTGACAATTTGGGGCGGGGCCATGTTTTTTCAGACGGACATCATCAGAGCCATTGCCCGCCTGATTGAGTTCTACAAGCACGAGAGTTGTGGCCAGTGCACACCTTGCAGAGAAGGTCCCTTTTCCCATCATACTTAACTTACACGACATTCATTTACTGTGTGGCTAAATTCGTTCCTGCTCATGAAGGAGTGGACTGGATGAACAACATGATGTGGCGTTTCGTGCAAGGCGACGCACGGCAGTCGGAGATCGACATGATCTGGGAGATCAGCAAGCAGATCGAAGGACACACCATCTGTGCCCTGGGAGACGGTGCTGCCTGGCCCGTACAGGTAAGCGCCACGGAAATTACCAAATGCACACTACTGACAAGCATATGGTGGCTAACGATGTAGGGGTTCGTCTCCAAATGAAATTTCTCATTCAGCGCAATCCTATTTTGATTTCTTGACATGGCTAGCATCAGGCTGCTGAGAACTAACAGTTAGCACGAGAAGCTAACGTAGCAGCCATAAGTGCTTGGTGTTCGCCATCTTATCAACCATGAGTTCCGCTTCTCGTTTCAGGGTTTGATTCGACATTTCAGGCCGCTCATGGAAAGCCGAATCGCCCAATTCCGGGAACAAAAGCAGGCCAGCGGTTAAAATGTCCGCTTGCCCTTCATTTTGCGGGTGCATTCCTGTGCCTCATCTCCACCTGAAACATACGAATGCTTGTGTTGTTCACAAAGTATTTAAAAATAAATAACGTGGTTTTTGTTTTGTCTCCTTGTGTCATGGAAATGTCAATAAAGTCCTATGACCCTCAAATACTCTCTGGTATCCTATTCACCACTATTCATGTTGTTTTTAATAGTTATGTTAGTGGTTCTCAAACTGGTGCTCGGGACTGCAAGGTGAAAGCTGTAGTTTAGGCTTCAGGGCACCAATTTGCTTACGTCTTATCATTAAAACAAATCAAAAATCATCTTTACATATGGGGGCCAATGTGCTAATAAAACTAACATACCAATTACTCGTCCCAACTTTATCTTTGGGCCAATTTGGAGTCAATTTGTCCTCTTATTGTTACAAAGCAATGTGTCTTTTCCAGAATAAAAGGTGGAATTACAAGAGTAGTTGTATTTCTGAGATCCCTTTGTTGAAATATAAGAACGGGACATCATCAAATAAAATTTAATAGAATAAACGAGTGTTACAGTATAAAGTGCAGTTACTGTACACCTGTGTATGCGATGACAACAGTGTATTCATTGTTAATTTTATCTGTCGTTTTAAAAATGCGGTCAACAGCAATGTGGACAACTGGGTAGGAAAGTGAAAACCTGTATAAATGTATTAAGATTTAAAATAATAATTAGTTCAACAATTCATAATTCCTGAACGTATTTATATTGATGGAAACTAAATATTTAGGTACTGTACTCTGGAGTGATTGAAAGTCTCGCGAGGTGTGCAACACGATTTGACGAGACTTTGCTTGTCACGTGACCCGGATAAACGACGCTTGGCGCCGTGGATTCAAGGGTAAGCAAATCAATGTCTTTTTTACTAATAATATATTCAAATGTCAGAGTTGACCCTATTTCGTAGCGGTCGAATGAACTATGCATGATGACTAAGAGACAGAGAGTTCAACTGAAAAAAATATATACCATGACCGTTTCGCTGTCTGCGTCGTCCTCCGTTTTTTTTAACCAAGCGTAACCGTCTATTGTAGTGAGAATCTTACGTTTTGTATTGTTGTAGATAAAGACATCGACTTGATGAAAGTCGAGGACGTCATCGTGGGCACGAACATGAGCAACACCGACCCAGAGATGAAATCTGGTGAATCTTCTGCGACGTCCCTGCTGCACATCCGTAAGATGTCTACTTAACTGACAGCAGCTCAAACGCACCACTTACAAATATGGTCACTAGAAAAGAACAGAAAAATCATTGTCAATTTCCGGGGCATAGTTGGAGTTTTAGCACGAGATCAATTTGTGAGTTTGCTAGTGTAAAAATATATTTGAACCCCGCCCCCACCACCACCAAAACAAACAAACAAACATACATACATACATACATATAACGGGTGGACATAAAGTGTTATGTTGTCTTTTTTGTAGAAACCTGTGTCTTCCTTGACTGGCCCAGTTTTTTGTGAGTAGTGCATGTGCATCAAGCTTCCACCTGTAATTATTTGTGGTTGCGATGCAGGAGAGGACTATGACGATCCGCACTGTCCACAATGTCTCATCACATTTCGGTCCTCTGAGACCAGAAAGAACCACATGCGGAGGACTCACCCAGAGCAGTACAGCAGGCATTTGATGCAGGTTGCTATGATCAACATTCGTTAGTCTCCACTGAGCCTGTAGGCCATGTCAAGCTGGCTGTCAGTCAACATTTTTTTTATCTTTCCGCAGAACCACACGCTGTTCTCGTGTTATAAGTGTGATAGGCTTTTTGGTTCCCCGGAGGAACTTAAGGTGCACAGTGGGCTCCATCACCAGGCTGACGACATCCCTGTCTGCTCCTCCTGCTCCAAAGTCTTTACCAACTTTAGTGGGGTGAGGGAAATGAACCCGTTTATCACGGGGGATTGATTTCAGACACATCCGCAGTCGGTGAAAATCTGCAATAAAGAGTCTTCAGTCTTCCTGACTGATTGTGTGGTCACAGCTCTACAGGCACAAACGGAAGGGCTGCGTGGAAGGCGTGTGGCGCTGCAGAGACTGTGGTGTGCGCTGTCGCAGCCTCATGGACTTTCACTTGCACTGTATCGAAGACCACGATAAGGACGTGGTGTCGGCGGCACAAAGTGGCGGGCGCCTCTGCTCCATCTGCTGGCGCCACTTCCTCACCGACGAGGCGCTGAGGAATCACCAAGACAGGGTCGACGGCGCTGTAATGCAGCCCACTGTTAAACGCAACCTGCAAACCAAGACCATGAAGATGCACGATAAGAAGAAGAAGAAGAAGAAGAAGAGGGTTGAGGACGACGACGATGCCAACAAAGACAATGAAGAGGACAAAGAGGAAGAGAAGTTGAGGATTCCGTGTCCTGAAGATGACTGCGATCTGGTGTTCCCATCCATTGACGCCCTGAGAGCACACAAGAGGAGCCAGCACCCAGCGCAGCCACCATCTTCTTTGGGTCACAACAAGCGCTGACCATGGCATAAATGCCAGCCTGTACATTACTGTTGTTTGTTTTCAATGCTGCATCCTTTTTTCACTTGTACACTTGATGGCAAGCTTTTTCCTCATCAGCAGCCATTTTAGTTGTTTTAAAGCCTTCAGAAGAAGGGGGGGTTATGGTGAAATCCAAACATTTGCAATTGCTTTTTTTTTTTTTCCAAAAGGATTTTTTTAAGTTAAAAACCACGATATTTGAATGATCAGTGCTTTCGGGTTAACAATATTAAAAATTGTCTTCAATAAACAAAATATTCATGTTGATTTTATTTTAAAGTGTGTTACCCTCCTAAATATTTGTTTTTATTATTGTTGATTCAATGAAGTGTCATTTTTCCATATGCTTGGATTTATTTATTTGTGTATTTTAAATTTATTTACATAGGATGGAATATTTGATTTTAAACATTTTAAAAAATGCAATATGGAACATTAAATGCGTTTAAGAACTTCATTTTGAATTTACGATTCAACGAGCTGCAGCATAAACTTCATAGCATAAAACCACAAAATTAACATCAGAAAACATGCACAATTATAAAATGATCTGACTGTAATGGCTCTGAACCAGGTTTTTGTTCTGTAAATTGGCTAATTGTATTAAAGTTAATTCACAAATTATAGTTCGTGACATTGATTATTTGTACGTTTTAAAACGTTGCGAAAATAGTAATAAACGAAAGTGGTGCACGCCAACAAAACAAACGGAGCAGCGAGGAGTAGTTTTTTCCCATGATGCACTTGTGCTTCCTTCCTATCTGGCGCCTTCTGGCCGAGAGCGGTCCAGGTCCATCTTGCCTGTTCGTGTTCGCACCCACGGAGCTCGGCAGGCAGCGCGCTCGCGGTCTTCTTCCTCTTGCTGTCGTCGTGCTCAAAAATGGCGGCGCCGAGAGGCGGAACGTCGTCGTCCGCCAACATCGCGGTGGGTTCGGGCGGCCAGACAGTCGCCCGAGCTCGCTTCCCGGGCCGTCCGTGCGCGAGCCGCGTCGGCCGGCTGCGTCTGGGCAAGCGAAGCAAACGCGGAAGGCTGTGCTCGGATGACGGCAAGTCGTCCGGCGGAGGGCCGAGGCCCGTCAACATCGGCCTTGCGTTGAGCGACGACTCGGCCTTGCTCCGTCTGCTCGGGCTGGCTGAGAAGCATGAGCGGCGGAGGGAAGTGGGCTTCGAGTCGAGCGAAGAGGTGAGCGAGCCAACTCAAGCGTCTTGTCAACAAAATGTCTCACTTGGATCAATCGTGACAAATGGCGCTTGGGTGCACTTGTTGTTTAGGAATTACAAAGGAGGTGGAAGCCCCTTTATACGTTAGCGGCAAAGTAGCTTTAGCTTCGGCGTCTTACGCGGACGAACGCTTAGTTCCGGTGCTTGTGCGGGGATTAATTGTTCATTTACAGTCCACATTTGCATGTTTTTTAACAAATATCGGTGTCCTTCGAAGCGGCACGAGGCGAAAACTTTGGCGGCTAGCGACGGTTGTTGATGGAAACGAGCGCCGTGTAGTAAACTTTGGCCAGCTCATGTGCTGAAATAAAAGAGCACGCAATGTCTTTAATTCGTTTTGGGATTTGCTCATTTTTCGTGCCGAAAACCTCACAGTGGCAAGTTGATCGTCATACCTACCACGTTGGAGCTGTCAGCTGACTGCAAGACGGAAAGCACTCTGAGCATGTCCACGATATTTTGGATATCCAACTGGAATGTTTATTTTTTTTCATACTACCAGGCCAACTGGTACGACCTGAAGAATTGGTATCAAGGATATCCTCCTCAAACAGCCTCATACCCACTTTAAAGTCCATGGAATACGTTTCAGTGCACTAGTGCAACAACTCTGACTTACTAATAGTTTTTTGCGCTACTACTACTGCAGTCAAACCATACTAACACTACTAGGCTCAACCATCGCGCACTCGTAGCATCCTGCATCCTTCTTGTCGCACCAAACTGCACTAGTAGGGTTCTCGAGTTCTCGTTGTAGTATGCTAATGCGAACTAGCACACAGTTTTGGCTCACAAATAACATCTATTTGTCCGACTACTGTACTGCACTAACACTAGTCAAACAAAATCTCAATGGTAGCAAACAAATGCTCAAACATGAATGCAAGAAGTGTCTCTTTACTCAAACAAAATGCGAATAAAAAAAGGTGTTTTGGCCGTAAAATGTGTGCCCGATGGATGACCAATGAAGAGGCTTTCAACGTTTTACTCTTGCCGATCAATTGACCCCGTTTTGGGTGCTAGCCCACAGTGGTGAAAAACGCTGGCGTTCTCAGGGAGATGTTGATTCATGTTCTGGAGGAGTTATCGTACTGTTATCCCAGATTATTTGCGATTCACTCGTGATTTATTTGGTGCAAAACCTGAGTAGTTATTGGGTTGATGCTTTCCCCCCCTTCAAACCGCCACAAGATGGCGGCAAACCCAACGCATCTCCACAGTAACCTTCGTCGTTATACGTAGGATATATAATAGATGCCAGTGAGTTTTGTTATATTGTCGGTCTCCTGATGTCGATGCAACGTTTGTTGCATTATTTGTTTGAAGTGTTAGATTGATGCGAGTTTTGTCTGAATAAGTCACAGTACCATTGTATTTACTTTGACTTGAGCAATAGTTTTGTCTATTGCTTCCATGCCAGAGTTGGTACAGTATTCGCAGTCTAGGTGAACTTGGTTTAAAAGATCATGTAACATGTGTCTTTGTTGCTATATATATTTGAATTTTTTTTAAGAAATCGCCTAAGACATGATAGGTAAAAGTCATGGCATCACTTGATTTGAACAAAGCATTGATGTCACATGGACTGATATCCGAGCGGTTGACTTAAATGTTCTCACTGCTGGCAAAGTAAAAGAAAAAATGAAAATCGGATAAATGGTCAAATGTCTTTTTCCCACAAGGTGAAATGATTTAAATCGGAACACAAACTAATCCATCTTAAATGCATCCTTGTGTTTTTTCTTCAGGAGGAAAGCTTTGGTGGTTTTGGCACAACCACTGCTCGTTTATCCAGCAAGTTGAAGCCCCCCAAAGTTGCACAGCCTTCTGAAGTTGCGCAGCGTTCCGATGGTGTGACGCCAACTCCTGCAACCAAATCTGTCATTGGGAAAATATTACCCAAGACCCCCAAAGCAACACCGATTGGGAATATTGTATCACAGGGTGCCAAAGAAGGAGAGAAAGAAGAAGATGGGCTGTCTGACATGATTTTACCACCGAATTCCAAAGAAGTGCTGATTGGTACAATTGTACCTCGGCGCTCGAAAAAAGAATGGGTTGGCGTGAAAGGCAGAAGAATGAAAGTCAAAGAGGCGCCAACCGAGATTTTTCAAGGGCAAGGCGGAACGGCAAAAGGCATCCAGGCAGGGGTCGGTGAAGCAGAACGAACCGAGGAAGTTCCGACAGCCGAGAGTGCGGGGCAGGCGCTTGCAATGACGGTCAAAATGCCAGGTGCCGCCTCACCGCCGAGGCCCGCAAAGCGCGCCAGGCTGTCGGCGGCGTCCCTGCAGCGCAGCCAGAGGAAAAAACCGGCAAAGGACGTGGCCGCGTCCCCGGAGATTGGCGCGGAGGCTGGCGCGCAGAGCGGGCCGGAAGCAGCAATGCCGCTGGAGGGGTTGTCGTCGTCGCCGCTGCCTGTGTTACCTGAGCACCGCGTGTACAAACGACACTCGCGCAAGTGCTTATATGGCAAGCGAAAGAAGGTCAAAAATGCCACGCCCGCCACCACCGCAATCCGCAGAAGGAACCGCATCAAGCACGTGTTTTACACCTACGTCACCGACCCCGGGCCCACTGCTCCGCCGGACCTCGAACCCAGCTCCCTCGTGGAACAGCACAACTCCTCGAGCGTGACGACTGCGCGCACGTCCCGCGTCATCAAGACGCCCAAGAGGTTTTTGGATGAGGCCATGGTGCCCTTCCCGAAAGGCCACTTGTCATCATGGCTGAAGAATCACCCGAAAGAGGATGAGAAGACCAGCACATCTTCGCAAGACTCCGTTTACGATGCCAAGTTGGAGGTAGACGCCGCGCCCAACGCAGCCGACAAGTTGTCTCCCCCAGCGAAGCTCCCTGTCAGACCAATTCACGGCAGCAGTCACCTTGACTTCTACAAGAAACTCAAGAGGCTTACCTTGAAGCTGGCAGAGAAGAAGAGAGGCCATTACGCCGTGCGGGTCGAAGACGATGACGGCTCACGTCCAGACGATTTAAAGATGGCCGTGAAAAAGAGGAGGCGGCGCAAGGCCAAACTGACCGTGGAGGAGATGGACTCGCCCGGAGTCGTGAGGAAGCTCGCCGTGGTCGTCAACAGCGACGCCAAGACGTCTTCGCAAGCATCCCCGGAAGTCACCGACAGGAATGGTAAGCGCGATTCGTTTCGTTTGGTGACATCACGTGCCTACCGAAGTGTCCCACTTTACGTCTGCGCAGAGGCCGTGGGGAGCGGCGAGGCTCGTCCTGCGGCGCTGGCACCAGATGCGGGCGTGCCCGGGCACCGCGCGGTGGGCCTGAGTGGAGCCAACAAGAGGATGCTGCACCTGCTCAAGAAAGCCAAAGTGCAGCTCATCAAGATTGACCAGCAGAAGCAGTTCAAATTGTCGCAGGTGTGCACCGAATTCTTTTGCTACCCCCGAACACGAATACACGTAAATATGTCCTCATTGGGACTTTTACATATTAACAGTTGAGCTCTAGTGACACTCACGCGGCAGTGAGCAGGCGAAGGAAAAGGAGAGTCAACCGGTCTGCGAAACTGCATCCTCAGGTAATTAGCATATTTAATCTTTGATATTTTACTCTGTATGAGTCTTTAACATGCTTTCATTAGTTGCATTGAGAAATTTGTAGTCAATGATGGAAACTAAAAGAAATCTATAATCGCTAGATAGTAACGAAACATGAAACAGTATGTCGGTTTGCTCACTTTAATCGTTATAATTGTGATTTTGGATGATAGGAGCAGCCTCTGGGCGGTCCCAGGATCAAGCACGTGTGTCGGGCGGCGGCGGTCGCCCTGGGCCAGCCGCGGGCGATGGTGCCCGACGACATTCCCCGGCTCAGTGCCCTTCCGCTGCACGAGAGGGAGGGCATCACCGTTTCCCCCGCAATAGAAGGTACGCCCCATGCACACGTGTTGCTCTTTTACGTGGCACATTAGACAGGACAAAAAAAAAAAGTGCATTCCCAGTGCTCAAGCATTTTTAGTCCCGACTGATCCCCACTTGTGACACAAACCATGTAGATGAGCTTTTGTTTGTTTTCAACACTCAAACCAAGACACCGAGTAGACAAATAAGTAGAGGGCAGTTGAGAAGGCATCAAAAATATCTTCACGTTAGCACATCACAGTGCACTTGTAGCAACAATAAAGCATAAACCCACCCCACCACAAAATACCCCCCCCCCCTTAAAAAACAAAAAAAATCACCAATCCCAAAAAGACAAACCGTGCCTTGTACACTCCATGTAGTTGTAAGTCAATTATTTGCCAGCAAAAATATCTTTTGTCACACACAGATTAGCCACTGCTGTTGGAAAGCTTTACCCAACACTGGTCGATCGGCCATCACTCTGTATGAGGTGAGAAAGTGCTGTTTGACCATTAGACTCGCTGCCCTGAAGCACACGTAGAGACAAACTTGCACCGCATTAAAGAGGCCTGCGCTAAAATCGACACAGATCCGTCCACCACACTGAATTCCATTTGATCACCGACGTTGTCATCTGCGACGACGACAGGAAAGACACTGAAATGGAAACCGCAAAGTTGGCATGTGCTGTGTGAGAAAAGATTGCCTGCGCTCTCCAAAATGATGAATTATTACATGACATGAAGCTCGATTTTTCAAGGTATGTTATCTCATGCATCCAAAGTAAGAGTGGCATCGTGGAATTTTCAGGAATATGCATCTGCGGAAGTAAGATTTTGAATCCGAATAAAATGCCGTGGATCTTGAGCTTGGGCGAATAAACTCCTCTCTAATATCGATGCCACTCATTCTCCTTTCAAAAAATAAAATTAAATCTGTTCATGGACTATCGTTCGCACACGGGTAATTTATAGAACCAGTTTGAACTCTCTTCCTCAAGTGCGTCGAGTCTTACTCTTGATCTTGTGTTCGGCCCTGACGGCGTCTTCAACGTGAATTTCATTCTACTGGCGTGGTTGCTCCTCAATGTTGTGTGCATCCGTTTATTTATATGGTTTGTTTTACCCGGTTCTTCCTCTGTTCTTTTCTACACAATAGTCCATAAATACCACATACTTTTCTGTATATTATTTTATTTTTTATTTCATGCAAATTTACATACAACATTGTTAATGTTCTTCTAAAAGAATGCGACCTCCCCCCCTAATCATAAATAAAAGCCACCGGCTAGAATGTACCTCACAATGCCTTTATAAATGTGTTTAATGCCCTTTTGAGCTCCCATCCATCCGCTCCCTCTGCCGCTTGCAGATGTCGCAGACGACGATGATGACGATGAGATCTCTGATGGAGGCGGGGCTGAGTGGCCGGTCTCCCAGGAACCCCTTCAAGAGCAGAAGAAGCAATGGCGGCGGCGCGGGTGGCGGCGCGGCCGCAAGTTCAAAAAGCGCAAGATCTTGAGCCGCTACAGGCCCGGCGGCGTGCGCTCGCGGCGCTGTGGTTCGTGCAGAGGGTGCCTGGTGGACAGCGACTGCGCCAAGTGCACCAACTGTCGTGACAAGCCCAAGTTCGGCGGGCCCAACAAGAGGCGACAGTGTTGCATGTAAGCAAATATGGTTGTGTCCATCAAATTAGGCGGTCACTGGTCTTTTTTTTTCCCCCCTCCTCCTTTCTTTTTTTGCTTCTTCTCACTTGGTGGAGCTCGCGAGCGCCGCTGCTACCCCAGAGTGTGAAGCAAAGAAACAATGCATATAAAATGCGATGAACATGCTAGTTTGTACAAAAGTAACTTTTTCCATGAGTTAAAAAAAACGATGAAGACATTTTGTGCTGTATTTTCAACAGATACAGGAGGTGTGATAGAATTGAGACCACAAAGACAGAGCGCATCGTCAAACAATTTAAAGGTATGTATTGTTAAAAGTATATTGCTAGCTCTGGATGGTAGGCAGAGAAATTTGGTGAAAAAAAATCATTGAAGTATAGTGCTACCTTGACTTTAAGAATGATCTTTTTCTCCAAGTCATTTTTTTTTCTCCCGTTTTTTTTTTATTTTTTTTTATTGCAAGTCAAAGTTTGAATGAGCAAGCTCCAAATACACACCCAGTCAAGTGGGACTGATCGGGGAAAACAAATGTAGTTATGCCCTTGCACGTGGGAAAGCGGAGCAGCCGTCGCCGATGCACTTTTTGCAGTTTATTGAACGGGACAAACGATCGAACACAAATACAAAACGAGAATGCTAACAAGGAGCAGACCTTTATGCTGAAATAACCAGCCAACCATACTCCGGTTCCTGATTTCACACACAAGCTGCGCCCCCTGAAAGGCACACATGCGTCACACCAACATGACACTGCGAACCATAACAGTTGATACAAATCTTCTCTTACATTTTTATAAAATAAAGTCAAGGATGAGAGATTTTTTTTGGGTGGGAGCTGACGTTTGAATGCTGGTGTCATATGAAGCAAAATAACGTGAGTGATCATCACTCATGCGCCTCCATTTTGTCAGTCCGGGCCAGGCAGTTTTCGGGACCCATGTCAAGCAGCGATGACGGCAACTGGGGTGCCAGGGAGTCGAGCACGAAGCTGTCCTTAGCGCCGACTAAAATCCGCAAGCATTCTTTGCGCAACATCACGCCGCGCTCCTTCAGCAATCTGCTCAAGTCCGAGTCGGACGAGGAGCCAGAGGAAGAGAGGGAAGAGTTCAAGGAGGAGAAAATGGCCGCTAAGCAAGGTAGATGACAACCTCAGTGCACCCCCCCAGCCCTCTTAAAAAAACACACACACACAACAACAGAACCATTTTGTTCTTTTTGAGATCTTGGACTTGGACTGTCCGTATGTGAGAACGTCCCCATGGAGGTGATGAAGCAGCGGCGGCCGTTTTCCAAAGGAAGCCGACCAAGAGCCAACAAGGTAATGTTGCCTGCAAGTGTCTTTCTTCTCATGTAGCTCCTTTAGACTCCCTGGGGTAAATTATTTGGAATGTGGTTTACGACTACTACTTGCTCTTGGTCTGCTATTATTTTATGCCAAGTCTGACAAATTCCCAACTAGACGACAACTTCCAAGTAATTTCCTTCCCAGGCCTCTTTTCTTTTCTTATTTTGTCCACCAATCTAAAATGTGCTAGGATTAGATACCTTAGGGAAAGTAGATGTAGATTTTCCGCGTTGAGCCTTGCTAACCTTTTTTCCCCCCTCTGCTTTTACTTGTTTGTTCTAAAATATAGATGCTTTGAATATGTGTTGTTGTTGCAAATATGTCTCGAACGGAGTATTTTGACACATTTCACTTGCAAGTCTGGGGGGTGGTTAACAGCAACAACCTTTTTGTGGGTGTCGATCTGGATTGTAGAAAATTAGCGGTTTATTACAGTTGATCTTGAGTGAGACTGGTGTCCAAAGTAAAAAAAAAAAAAAAAAAAAGAAAGACTGTTCGAGATGCAACCAGAAAGAAGCACGGCAAGCAACATTGCGGAGTGACCGCAAGTCAGTTTTACGGAGCCGAGTTAATCAAAGACCTCTTTTCCACTGTGCAGGCATGTCAGTGGCAGCATACATTTAGAATCATCTGATAGATTGTTTGCGTGCTTTGGTAGGTGCTGCCGTTTTGGTTAGCAGTGTGTGCGTGTGTGTGTGTGTGTGTGTGTGTGTGTGTGTGT